GGTACAGCAGGCACCTTCATGTGGCTCGCTGAGTCCTCTTGTCTCATCTTGTTCGTATTGCAGCCAGGAGGTCTTGATCCTGGGGGCCAGGCCTTCCTGCAGAAGAGGACATGCCTGTAGTAGGTCTTTTTAGCTGGGGTGAGTTCAATGGTCCCTTGAGGAGGCATGCAGCCCCCCAGGAATAACCCAGTGCTTGGTGCCCAGGGCCCCTGGGTGGGCATCAGGAACCTGCAGCCCCTGAATGGCTTTGCATGGGAGCATAGGTATACACGTCGGCTGTAGATCATTCAGAGGAGTGGTTTCATCAGGGTTTAAAGCAGGTTTCATCCCCAGAAAACATGAACTGGAGGTTTCTGAATGTGCTTGCTCAGGCCCTACCCTGGAGGAAGGTTCCAGCCTGAGTGGGCTCTGGTATCCAGGTGGCCTACCCCACCCTTCACCCTGCCCATTCAGGGCCTGGGGGAGACCCCCTAGCTACTGGAAATGTCAGCTGGAGATCCAGACAGTCCTGTTGCAGCCCTGCTCTGGTTCCCATTTCAGTCTGAGGAGCAGCACACACACTGCACGGGGAGCACGCAGAGAAGGCCCCACTGGACCTGAAGCCAAAGAAGGATTCACACGCACAAGTGGGAACAGAGAGGCGAGCAGCTCAGAGGAGGAAATAGTTGGTTGCAGAGGGCCTGACTGGTTGACCCTCTGAGGCCTTGACTGCCAAAGAGCCACCCTGCAGAGCCAACACTTGGTCCCAGCAGACGTGGATCTCACCTCTTTTTTTTTTTTTTTTTAAGATTTATGTATTTATTTGACAGAGACACAGCGAGAGAGGGAACACAAGCAGGGGGAGTGGGAGAGGGAGAAGCCGGCTTCCCGCTGAGCAGGGAGCCTGATGCGGGGCTCTATCCCAGGACCCTGGGATCATGACCTGAGCCAAAGGCAGACGCTTAACGACTGAGCCACCCAAGCGCCCCTGGACCTCACCTCTTGTATAGCCCCCAACCTACCCCTCCTCTTGTCCTAAGCCCCAGAGCCATTCATTATTCATGGAGCAGAAACTAAGCCCACATTACAGGAAAGCAGGCATCCGCCCAACGGCAAATGGAGCTCTAAGCACAAGGGCTGCCTGGGGCATGGAGGAGGGCGGGAGTCCCATCTCCCTGCCCCTCAGGGCAGGGGAGCATCCCTCCTGATGTGAGGTCCATGACCCTGTGGGAGGAAGGAAATACACCAAATTATTTCAGCAGAGAGAAATTACTATAAAGACTTGTGAGCCAGGTATAAAGTGCCTGCCCCAAAACCAAGTGCACAAGAACAATCCTGAAGTATCCATTACAGAGATAGCAGCTGCAAGATGTACCTACCCCTCCTAGAGCTAGGGAATAAAGTAAAGAGGTTGGAATAATTAAAGCTGAGGATCCTGTGGGCCTTGGGACCTGAAAGTCTGAGGCTAGGTGCTGTTCAGCTAGTGCAGGTTGGGATGGCGGGGGAGGGCCATGAGACTGGTTCCACAAGTGTTCGAAAATCACCACAAACCAGATCCAGCTACTGTGATGGCTGGGCGCCCCCCCCCCCCCCCCCCCCCCCGTCCCCTGCCCTGTACCTAGGAGGAGTGGCACTGGTGCTTGCCAGGTGACCTCACAGGTAATGCAAGGCCACAGGAAGCCAGTGGGAGGGAGTAAGCCCCTTCTCCCTCTGACCTTGTGGTCCCCTCCAGTGCCACATTGGGAGAACCTAACGGGGTAGCTAGCACAGAAGAAATGCAGCCTGCTGTGCTCAGCCCCAGCCTCCCAGAGCAGGGCACAGATGGTAAATGAAGCTGAGAGTAGTAAGTGACTCACTGGTCCAGTGGGGTGGGAGGAAGGTGTGCCCTGTGCAGGGGAGTGAGCAACACACTTGCCTCTCAGATTCTGTGGCTCACCAGGATTCTAGTTCACTTCAGGCTTCATCACGAGCCCTGCCAGTCTAGACATGCCCAGGGCATAGTCCTGTCCCTTGAAGAGTGACGGGCTCAGAGGGAGCCTCCGTTCACTCCTCTGTAACCTGAGTCAGGATCCCCTCTTTGCAGGGCTGCTGAGGGATGGAGGATAGAGGGCAGAGCACCCTGCCCCATGAGGAGGTCCATGACAGCCTTGCCCACTGATCTGCTATCTGTGGCTCTCTCCACAGCTCATCAGTGATGGCAGTGTGGTCTGTGCTGAAGCACTCTGGGACCATGTCACCATGGATGACCAGGAACTGGGCTTCAAAGCTGGGGATGTCATCGAAGTAATGGATGCCACCAACAGAGAGTGGTGGTGGGGTCGTGTTGCTGACGGCGAGGGCTGGTTTCCAGCCAGCTTTGTGCGGGTATGGCACAGCCTGTGTGCTTCTCCTTTGCCCATTAGGAGCCAAGTGGCTCTGCTCAGACATGCAGACCTGAAACTGCTCTGGGGTCAGAGGTGCTGGGCATGGACTTCCCCCCGCCCCCGCCTTCCCCCACCCTCAGGGCTGTGCTGGGACTGCAAGGCTGTGGGTTGGAGATGGGGATCGAGGTGTCCAGAAGACCAGCCACAGAGTTGTGACACAGCCATCACCAATTCCTGCCTGCTCCCACCCCTCCCTCCAGGGTGCCCTCAGTGTCCAGAAAGGAACGGGTCAGAAATGATGGTGTGTGCATTCCTCCAGGGGGAATCTGCCTGTTAGAATTCCATCACCACAAACAACTTAGCACCGGGCATTTACTAAACCCCGTGCAGAAAATTTGGACAGGCTTCTCAATTATAACTTTCACAATGCCCTGGGAGCTGGGAACAGCCCCTTACACCTGAGAAAACTGAGGCATGGACAAGTTAAGTCGTTAGCACAAGAGCTCACAGGAAGGGGACCCAGAGCCTCCCTGTGGCAGCCTTTGGTCTCCTAGGAAGGAATCATGGTGCCTTCTCAAAGGCCAGGCAGAGGGCAGTGGGGAGGAGATATCCCAGACTTTGGGGTTCGTTGCTTCTGCTGCCCCAAACCCCGTGGATGAACTGCCCACTCTCCACCTCTAGCCTGTCCTACTTATAGGTCAGAGAGCCAGAAAGGCCCCGTCACCCATCCTCTTCTGTCACAGCCCCTAGAGGGCCAGCCCCGTGTGAGCAGGCCCTGGGTCCGAACCCCAAGAGAGTGAGCATCTGTGCTCCGCTCCCAGCACTGAGTCCAGAACCGACCGAGGAGCGAGAGAGAAGGGTGCCTTCAGAGGGGCAGGCGCGGTCTCGGGTGCTGGGGGAAAGGGGCTGCCGGGTCTACACGTCCTCCGAGCCTCTGTTCCCCACTGCCGCCGCGTGCCGGTCGCGGGGCGCTGAGCCTCGGCGGGGGCTGACCTGAGGGGCGCTGACCAGCCGCGCGGTTCTTGCAGCTGCGGGTGAACCAGGACGAGCCCGCCGACGAGGAGGCCTTGAGGGCCGGGGACGGCGGGGCCGCGGATGGAGGGGCCGAGGCGCAGAGCAGCAAGGACCAGATGCGGACCAACGTCATCAATGAGATCCTCAGCACCGAGCGGGACTACATCAAGCACTTGCGCGACATCTGCGAGGTGAGGCCCAGCCGGGGGTGCGGAGGGTGGCGTGGGGGACGCGGGTGCCGGGAGAGAGACCTGATGGGCCGCGGGCCGCAGGGCTACATCAGGCAGTGTCGCAAGCGCGCCGACATGTTCAGCGAGGAGCAGCTGCGCACCATCTTCGGGAACATCGAGGACATCTACCGGTGCCAGAAGGCGTTTGTGAAGGCGCTGGAGCAGAGGTTCAATAGGGAGCGCCCCCACCTGAGCGAGCTGGGCGCCTGCTTCCTGGAGCACGTGAGCACGCCCCGCCCCGGACACCCCGCTGCCCAGGACCCACGCACCCTGTCTCCCCACTACGCGAGCCCCCTGCCCTGCCCATCCCTGCTGGGGGTCTGCACCCGGCTACACACAAACCCCCTGGCCCCAGCACAAAGCCTCCCTTCGCCCTTGCCTCCCGTGCCTGCCTCCCCTCAGAAGTCGACCCTGTAGGCTAAAGCCCAGGCAACCTGCTGCTCTTTGCCCAGAAGCATCCAGGCCCCACACCCCTACTGCCCACCTTGCCCTCACGCTCCCACACGGTTTTAGCAGTGTCTCTTCTTGTTTGGGAGGCCGACCAAGCCAGAGAGGGCTCCTTGGAGCAGGGGTGCCTGGGCATCTGCCTGAAAAGCTTTGCTTGGGCTAGAGTAAGTAGAAGACAGAGCTGGGCTGGGCTACCTGTTGAGCATCTTCAGAGCTGTTCCTAACAGGTTCTTGGCTTCCTCACACACTGAGAAAACTGGAATCTGTGGAATGTACAGTGCTTAACTTCCACGCTAAATGCCAGTTGGAATTTAGCCAAGGTTCATTGGCCTGGTCTAGGCTAGATGGACTCCTGGCCTTGCTTGGTAAGGAAGGCACTTGTTACTATCCCTCTCCTGTGGCAGTCACGTGCAGTTGAGCCGAGGATGCCAAGGCCGGCCCATGAAGGACAATGTGGGTTCCTTCTTGGTGTTGGAAGGGCCCTGGCACCTCACTCCAGTGGCAGGAGGAGAACTGGAAAGGGAGACCTTAGACTTCCCGAGCAGGAACTGGGGGCGGGTCAGAGCACCTGTGTGAGTATGGGATTTGCAGCCAGTTATTCAGCAGGCAGAGCTGTGATGGGGGCGGGGGGTGGGGCAGGCACTTTATCGATATTACCTAGTGTGACGATCCCAGCAACCCGCCAGCCAGCCAACTGCTGTTACCCTCCTTTCCCACCTAAGTCCGTGAAGTCCTAGTCACTCTAGGGCACACCCAGTCTTTCTCTGGCTCTAGGTAGATGGAACTTAAAAAAAAAAAGGCACTGTGAGTCTCCTGTACGATACACACACAATGTGGATATATCTGTCACATTGTGTTTGTTGAACAAAGTGGCAGTGGCTGTCTTTCAGATATGAAAGAGCTTTGTGAAGGATAAGCAAGACACTGGGCTGAGGAGGAGAACAATCCAGGGGACATAGCCATAGACCCTGGCATCCATTTAATCTCTCTCTCTTTTTTTTTTTAAGATTTTATTCATTTATTTGACAGAAAAATAGACAGTGAGAGAGGGAACACAAGAAGGGGGAGTGGGAAAGGGAGAAGCCAGCTTCCCGCGGAGCAGGGAGCCCGATGTGGGGCTCGATCCCAGGACCCTGGGATCATGACCTGAGCCGAAGGCAGACGCTTAACAACTGAGCCACCCAGGCGCCCCCATTTAATCTCTCTTAATCCCTTTCTCCTCTCCCTCTCTCTCCCTCTCCCCCTCTTTCCCAGTTTCCCTTTCCTTCACTCCTTCTCTCCCTCTCTTTCTCCCTGTCCCTCCCCCTCTCTCTCCCTCTCTCTCCTGTCCTGTCTCTCTCTCTGCTTCTCTCTCTGGTTTTTGGTCTTATAACGCTTCCTTATTAGCATCATTGATTTCATCCAAAAAACCAGACATACAGTCAGAATCTCTGCTGAGGGCCCTGCTGAGAAAGCTGGGTGGCGACAGTGCACACACAAGCCTGAGTTTTCAGGTCTCTCACATCTCCGTGCCTAATTCCACATAGTTTGCGCCCAGTGAAGTGAGTAGACAGAGCCTGGGTCCTCCGAGCCCAGCTCCTGAAGGAAATGCAGACACTCGCTCCCACTCCCTCCCGATGCTGTGCCTGAGGCGCCTGGGTGGCCTGAGGGGCAGGGGCTCCCCATGCTAACCTCCAGCTTGTGCCCCCAGCAAGCGGACTTCCAGATCTACTCAGAGTACTGCAACAACCACCCCAATGCCTGTGTGGAGCTGTCGCGGCTCGCCAAGCTCAGCAAGTACGTGTACTTCTTTGAGGCCTGCCGGCTGCTACAGAAGATGATCGACATCTCGCTGGACGGCTTCCTGCTGACCCCCGTGCAGAAGATCTGCAAGTACCCTCTGCAGCTGGCCGAGCTGCTCAAGTACACACACCCCCAGCACAGGTAGGAGGCTGTAGGGGAGCGGGGGCCGGGGGCCAGCCAGGGTGTCGCGTACTGGCTGTGGGTGGCCACTGCTGTAGGCGCTGGCTGGCAGCCCACAGTCAAACAGGCACCACTGTTGCATGCTGTTGCTGCAAGGAGGGGACCGGACAAAAATGGGGTATTCCGTTCTGCTGTGTCCAGCCAGGTGTGCGTTGACAAGTGAAGAACTGGCCGAGGGCAGAGCCCCAGAGGGAAGCAGCTCCACAGGGGGCCCCTCTCTGCTCTCCGAAGTGCGGCCTTCTTCCATCTCTCTTCTGCCCCAGGGATTTCAAGGACGTGGAAGCAGCCCTACATGCCATGAAGAACGTGGCCCGGCTCATCAATGAACGGAAACGGAGGCTTGAAAACATCGACAAGATTGCTCAGTGGCAGAGCTCCATAGAGGACTGGGAGGTGAGGGTCCCACACCCCACAAAATACCATGGGACTCTGCCCCTGAACAATCTAGGAAGGAGCTGAAGCAGGGAGCCGTGCTCCTGGGAGCTGGCGAACAGGCACCAGTGGTAAGCAAGCTGGTCCTCTGCCCAGGCCAACCCACCCGAGCACTGAGCTGCAGGCCTGGTGGTGGAGAGTGTAGGGCATGTGTGAAGTAAGATGTCGCTCCTGGTGCAGCCGGTCAGCCCAGCAGGACAGGCCAGCCCCCAGTTTTAGTAACTACTGGGACTTCTCCCAACAGAAGGGTTCAGGCCTGCCATAGCATGACCAAAAACAATTGCCATGGGTTAGAGCCTCCTGGTTCCATTCTTCTGGCTTGCACATACCCCTTGTCTCTGCCAGTCTTGCCTTCTAAAGCTCCCGGAGGCCTGAACTTACAGGGACATTTCCTGTCCTGTTCTCTCACCTCCACCCACTAGCCATAAATATTATGAAAATACAGATTCTTGGGCCTCATCCTAGAACTAGGAAATTAGAATCCCTGGTGGTGGGGCTGAGCAATGTGGTCTTTGTTTTGTTCAGGGTTTTTTATTTTCCTAGTGCTTGGTTCTGAGGCCCAGACCTGGCTAAGGACCCCTACAAAATTCACTTATCCCAAACTGAACAGCTGCCAAAAACTCCTGGCTGAGGTTTGCATTTCCCAGGAGGAACCGAAAGGGGGCAGGGCTTAGCCTGAAAGTTTGAAGTCTAATGATGGGGCTTCAGGTACTAACTACATTTAGCTGAGAAAACTTCCTTAGCCCCTAAAAGACAAAGTTCACAGGTGACTTCTAGCCAGGTCTAACTATTCTTGAGCGCAGCACTGAACGAAATATCATGGGAGTCACATAGGTAATTGTATATGTTCTAATAGCCATCTTAAAACAGAAAAAAAAGAGTGAAATTAATTTTTTTTCTTTTCTGCTCAGTAATTTTCTTTTTTTATATATATTTTTTTATTAACATATAATGTATTATTTGTCTCAGGGGTATAGGTCTGTGATTCATCAGTCTTATATAATTCACAGTGCTCACCATAGCACATACCCTCCCCAATGTCTATCACCCAGCCACCCCATCCCTCCCACCCACCTCCACTACAGCAACTCTCAGTTTGTTTGCTGAGATTAAGAGTCTCATATGGTTTGTCTCCCTCTCTGATTCATCTTGTTTCATTTTTCCCTCCCTTCCCCTATGATCCTCTGCCTTGTTTCTCAAATTCCACATATCAGTGAGATCATATGATAATTTGATCTGATTGACTTATTTCGCCTAGCATAATACCCTCTAGTTCCATCCACGTTGTTGCAAATGACAAGATTTCTTTTTTGTGATGGCTGCATAATATTCCATTGTGTGTGTGTATATATACGTATATATATGTGTGTGTGAGTGTGTGTGTGTGTGTATATATATATATATATATATATATATATATATATATATATATATACCACAGCTTCTTTATCCATTCATCTGTTGATGGACATCTAGGCTCTTTCCATAGTTTGGCTATTGTGGACATTGCTGCTATAAACATTGGGGTGCAGGTGCCCCTTCAGATCAGTACATTTGTATTTTTGGGGTAAATACGCTCTTTCCACAGTTTGGCTATTGTGGACATTGCTGCTATAAACATCGGGGTGCATGTGCCCCTTCAGATCACTACATTTGTATCTTTGGGGTAAATACCTAGTAGTGCAATTGCTGGGTCATAGGGTAGCTCTATTTTCAACTTTTTGAGGAACCTCCATACTGTTTTCCAGAGTGGCACCAGCTTGCATTCCCACCAACAGTGTAGGAAGGTTCCCCTTTCTCCACATCCTCGCCAACATCTATAGTTTCCTGATTTGTTCATTTTTGCCATTCTGACTGGTGTGAGGTGGTATCTCATTGAGGTTTTGATTTGGATTTCCCTGATAGCGAGTGATATTGAGCACTTTTTCATGTGTCTGTTGGCCATTTGGATGTCTTCTTTGCAGATACGTCTGTTCATGTCTTCTGCCCTTTTCTTGATTGGATTATTTGTTCTTTGGGTGTTCAGTTTGATAAGTTCTTTGTAGATCTTGGATACTAGCCCTTAATCTGATACGTCATTTGCAAATATCTTCCATTCTGTCCCTTGTCTTTTGTTTTTGTTGACTGTTTTCTTTGTTGTGCAAAAGTTTTTTATCTTGATGAAGTCCCAATAGTTCATTTTTGCCCTTGCTTCCCTTGCCTTTGGCAATGTTTCTAGGAAGAAGTTGTTGTGGCTGAGGTCAAAGAGGTTGCTGCCTGTGTTCTCAAGGATTTTGATGGATTCCTGTCTCACATTTAGATCTTTCATCCATTTTGAGTCTATTTTTGTGTGTGGTATAAGGAAATGGTCCAGTTTCACTCTTCTGCATGTGGCTGTCCAATTTTCCCAACACCATTTGTTGAAGAGACTTTTTTCCATTGGACATTCTTTCCTGCTTTGTTGAAGATTAGTTGATCATTGGGTTGAGGGCCCATTTCTGGGCTCTCTGTTCTGTTCCATTGATCTATGTGTCTGTTTTTGTGCCAGTACCATACTGTCTTGATGATGACAGCTTTGTGATAGAGCTTGAAATCTGGCTTTGTGATACCACCAGCTTTGCTTTTCTTTTTCAACATTCTTCTCGCTATTTGGGGTCTTTTCTAGTTCCATACAAATTTTAGGATTATTTGTTCCAATTCTGTGAAAAATGCTGATGGTATTTTGATAGGGATTGCATTAAATGTGTAGATTGCTCTAGGTAGCGTTGACATCTTCACAATATTTGTTCTTCCAATCCATGAGCATGGAATATTTTTCCATTTCTTTGTGTCTTCCTCAGTTTCTTTCGTGAGTATTTTATAGTTTTCTGCATGCAGATTCTTTGCCTCTTTGGTTAGATTTATTCCTAGGTATCTTATGGTTTTGGGTGCAGTTGTAAATGGGATCGACTCCTTCATTTCTCTTTGTTCTGTCTTGTTGTTGGTGTATAGGAATGCCACTGATTTCTGTGCATTGATTTTATATCCTGCCACTTTACTGAATTCCTGTATGAGTTCTAGCAGTTTTGGGGTGGAGTCTTTGGGGTTTGCCCCATAAAGTATCATATCTGCAAAAAAGAGAGTTTGACTTCTTCTTTGCTGATTAAGATGCCTTTTACTTCTTTTTGTTTTCTAATTGCTGTGGCTAGGACTTCCAATACTATGTGGAATAGCAGTGGTGATAGTGGACATCCCTGCCACATTCCTGACCTTAGGGGGAAAGCTCTGTTTTTCCCCATTAAGAATGATATTCGCTGTGGGTTTTTCATAGATGACTTTTATGATATTGAGGTATGTACCCTCTATCCCTACACTGTGAAGAGTTTTAATCAAGAAAGGATGCTGTACTTTGTCAAATGCTTTTTCTGCGTCTATTGAGAGGATCATATGGTTCTTGTTCTTTCTTTTATTAATGTATTGTATCACATTGATTGATTTGTGGATGTTGAACCAACCTTGCAGCCCAGGAATAAATCTCACTTGGTTGTGGTGAATAATCCTTTTAATGTACTATTGGATCCTATTGGCTAGTATTTTGGTGAGAATTTTTGCATCCATGTTCATCAGGGATATTGGTCTGTAGTTCTCCTTTTTGATGGGGTCTTTGTCTGATTTTGGGATCAAGGCAATGCTGGCCTCAAAAAAGAGCTTGGAAGTTTTCCTTCCATTTCTATTTTTTGGGACAGTTTCAGAAGAATAGGTATTAGTTCTTCTTTAAATGTTTGGTAGAATTCCCCTGGGAAGCCATCTGGCCCTGGCTCTTGTTTATTGGGAGATTTTTGATTACTGCATCAATTTCCTTAGTGGTTATGGGTCTGTTCAGGTTTTCTATTTCTTCCTGGTTCAGTTTTGGTAGTTTATACATCTCTAAGAATGCATCCATTTCTTCCAGATTATCTAATTTGCTGCCATAGAGTTGCTCATAATATGTTCTTATAATTGTTTGTATTTCTTTGGTGTTGGTTGTGATCTCTCCTCTTTCATTCATGATTTTGTTGATTTGGGTCATTTCTCTTCTCTTTTTGATAAGTCTGGCCAGGGGTTTATCAATCTTGTTAATTCTCTCAAAGAACCAGCCCCTAGTTTTGTTGATCTGTTCTACTGTTCTTTTGGTTTCTATTTCATTGATTTCTGCTCTGATCTTTATTATTTCTCTTCTCTTGCTGGGTGTAGGCTTTATTTGCTGTTCTTTCTCCAGCTCCTTTAGGTGTAGGGTTAGGTTGTGTATTTGAGACCTTTCTTGTTTCTTGAGAAAGGCTTATATTGCTATATACTTTCCTCTTAGGACCACCTTTGCTGCATCCCAAAGATTTGAACAGTTGTGTTTTCATTTTTATTGGTTTCCGTGAATTTTTTTAATTCTTAATTTCCTGGTTCTTTAGTAGGATGCTCTGTAGCCTCCATGTATTTGAGTTCTTTCCAAATTTCCTCTTGTAGTTGAGTTCTAGTTTCAAAGCATTGTGGTCCAAAAATATGCAGGGAATGATCCCAAACTTTTGGTACCAGTTGAGACCTGATTTGTGACCCAGGATGTGATCTATTCTGGAGAATGTTCCATGTGCCCTAGAGAAGAATGTGTATTCTGTTGCTTTGGAATGGAATGTTCTGAATATATCTGTGAAGTCCATCTGTTCCAGTGTATCATTTAAAGTTTTTATTTCCTTGTTGATCTTTGGCTTAGATGATGTGTCCTGATTTCAGTGAGGGGGGATGTTAAAGTCCCCTACTATTATTGTATTGTTGTCGATGTGTTTCTTTGATTTTGTTATTAATTGATTTATATAATTGGCTGCTCCCATGTTAGGGGCATAGATATTTACAATTGTTAGATCTTCTTGTTGGATAGACCCTTTAAGTAGGATGTAGTGTCTTCCTCATCTCTTATTATAGTTTTTGGTTTAAAATCTAATTTGTCTGATCTAAGAATTGCCACCCCAGCTTTCTTTTGGTGTCCATTAGCATGGTAAATGGTTTTCTACCCCCTCACTTTCAATCTGGAGGTGTCTTTCGGTCTAAAATGAGTCTCTTGCAGACAGCATATCGATGGGTCTTATTTTTTTATCCAATCTGCTACCCTGTTACATTCAGGGTAACTATTGAAAGATATGGATTTAGTGCCATTGTATTGCCTGTAAGGTGACTGTTACTGTATATTGTCTCTGTTCCTTTCTGGTCTGTTACTTTTAGGCTCTCTCTTCACTTAGAGGACCCCTTTCAATATTTCTTGTAGGGCTGGTTTCGTGTTCACAAATTGTTTTAGTTTTTGTTTGTCCTTGAAGGTGAAATTTATTTTAATGTTCTATTTAACTCAGAATATCCAACGTATCATTTCAGTGTGTACTGAACATAAAATCATTAGTGAAATATTTCACATTCTTTATTTTATTTAGTCTTCAAATTCGGTGTTATTTTACTTACATAACATCTCAGCAGGGATTGGCCACATTTCAAGTGCACATGCCACAGGCTGCCTCCTGGCCCCATTTTGCAGAGACAACCAACTTGTAGGTCAGATGACCTTTTCACTCCCCACCCCACCCCCAACAGCCCCCACCACTTCCTTGAGCTTCAAGAGCAATCCCTCCCTCAGTGGCCTTCTGCTTACTACTTGCCAGTGGGGACCACAGGCAGGCCAGGCCAGTGGGGAGGCCACCCAACCCCATGATGGAGGCAGGAGGAAGTGCCCAGTGGAGAGGGCTTCCAATGTTAGGTGCACTCAGCTCACAGCTCTCCTTGGGGTACCCCAGGGGGAAGATCTCCTGGTCAGGAGCTCAGAACTCATCTATTCCGGGGAGCTGACTCGTGTTACACAGCCACAAGCCAAGAGCCAGCAGAGGATGTTTTTTCTCTTTGACCACCAGCTCATCTACTGCAAGAAGGTACCAGAATTGCTTTGCCCTGCTGGATGAACCATTTAGAGCAGGAGTAGAGGGGGTGAAGCTGAGGGCTGGGAGTAGCTGCCAAAGAAAAGGAGCCACACAGAGGTGGTTCCTTTTCCTGGGGACCTTCAGTGGAGCAGGCCCTTTGAGGTGATTCTGTGCAGAGGGAGCCAAATAGCCCAAGGACCATGGCAGTCTGACCAGGGCCCAGTGTTGTTGAGAATACCTTCCTGCTTGACCTAGCCCCTGCTTGTTTCTAAAGCCACCTCTACTGTCCCTGCAAATCTCAGCTCCCCCTGAGCCCTGGGATCCTTGCTCCCACTGCTGCTTCTTTGCTGTAGCTTCTACTCCTCTCAACACGTGGCCCAGGTGGCTTTGTCGAGGAAGCCTGCCTGGCTGCTGGCCCTGGGCCCAGCCTGGTAGGCCTGGTACTCTTCTCTGTCATGCAGGGTGGGCCCTGGGCCACTGTTTCCATGGCTGCCTCCCCACGAGATTATGGGTACCCTAAAGACCCTCCAGGCCAGTCAGTAACTGAAGGCCAGTTCCTTCGCTAAAGGAGTGAGGCTCCTGCATCATGGCTACAGCACACAGTTGTGGGCTACACCAACACTCACTCTGCCCTCATGAGCCCACCATCTGCTTGGAAAGTGGGTGAGCAGCCCACTGGCCCTTCCAATTGCAGGGTGCGGGGTGAAGCATAAACATGGTCAGGAGAGTGGTTTGGAGGCCTGGGAGGGACCCAACAAGCAGGATAGGCCAGGAGCTCACAGAGTCTCTGGCAGGATCTTCTCCGCCGGGATGTGCTGTACTATAAGGGCCGAGTGGATATGGATGGACTGGAGGTGGTGGATCTAGAGGATGGAAAAGACAGAGACCTCCACATGAGTGTCAAGAATGCCTTCCGGCTGCTCTGCGGCACCACGGGAGAGAGTCACCTGCTGTGTGCCAGGAAGCCTGAGCAGAAACAGCGCTGGCTCAAGGCCTTCGCCAGAGAGAGGGAGCAGGTGCGGCTGGACCAGGAGACAGGTGCGAGACGCCATCAGCCTTGCTCCACTGTGAGGGCCCACCCAGCCCTCCTAACCCCTGAACACGAGGTCAGGAGAACCTTGAGACTGTGAGACAGCATGTCCCACCGCCTAAGGGCCTCAGGTTTTGGCAAGGCTCCAGGGCACCTCTTCATTTCAGCCCCAGGGCATGGGTCTCCTGGCCTGTTGGGGGTTTGCTTCCAGAACACTCACATATGCACGCACACTTCATAAGGTGGAGGCCCTCTGCTCAGTTGCAGAGACCCGGTGAGGCCTCTTTCCAGCACAAAGCATTCAAGTAGGATTTGGGCACTGGCTGTGAGAAGCCTCCCCCACCCCAGCATAAGCAAGGCACCTTCCCACTGCATTCCTCTCCTCTCCGTGGGCCCCTGGGCATCATGCTCAAGAGTGACCAGATTGGCTCTTGGTCTGGGAAAGCCACAGTGGAGAGAAAGGATACTAGATGCTGGATACATCAGGGATTAGGTCAGGGTGAGAGATGGGATAGGGCAAGGATGTGGGGAGGGCCCTTGCACATCTCCTCTGCCTGGCTGGTCAAGGCAGGCTGGCTGAGCAGGATGCCGAACATCTGCAGCATGATGAGATCCCAGGCCCTGTGGGAGGTGCAGGGTACACAGAGGACCACACAGATGCCAGGAGACACAGGGCAAGAGGAATTATTGGCTGGGGAGGTGGGGGCGGGGGGGGGAAAGGCAGCCAAGTCCTCAAGGTAAGCAGAGGTCTCATTTGTGGCCCTCCCTCCCAGGCTTCTCCATCACCGAGCTGCAGAGGAAGCAGGCCATGCTGAATGCCAGCAAGCAGCAGGCCACTGGGAAGCCCAAAGGTAAGCGGATGGTTCCCTAACTCCTCCCATAGCAGCCTGGCCCTAGCCATGATCAAACTCTTCTCTGACCCCCAAAGTGAGCTAGCTCCTGGGGCCCACGTGCTGCCCACTGCCCTTTGCAGGTAATTGTTCCCAAAGATTGGTGTTGAGGCCACTGGTAACAAAGCTTTCGTCGGTGTGCAGTTGATGTTGCTCTCAATTCCCTTGGGTACCCCAGAGCAGGAACATTAGTGGAAGTGCACCTCCCCAGGCAGGATTTCTGGGAGGCCTCGTTCAGTCACCTGGCAAGGAGCTTCTTACAGAGATGTTAAATGCCTGGCATGCAGCCTGTTCCATGGAGGAGCTCCAGAGCCCCACACCATCTCTGTAGGCTAGCGGGTGGCCCAGGCCACTAGGTGTGGTGGGCCGCATAGGAAGGCAGTTCCCTCCCGTGGGACAGGCCCCATCCCACCCCCCTACTGAGCAGAGGCTGCCGCTCTGCCCTGTGCCACCTGGCGACCTAGGCACCTATGATCCCTGCTTTCTTCTGCCCAGCCCTCAGCCGGCCCTACTACCTGGCACGCCAGAAGCACCCGGCTCTGCCCGCCAGCCTGCCCCAGCAACAGGTCTTGGTACTGGCAGAGCCCAAGCGAAAGCCGTCCACCTTCTGGCACAGCATTAGCCGGCTGGCACCCTTCCGCAAGTGAGCCAGCTCCCCATCCGACAGCACTGTCTGGACCTGCCCCGCCAGTGGGCCTCCACAGCTTTTTCTCCCCGAGGCCCACCGCATGTGGCCTCCTCTGCTGGTCACGCACACTGGAAGTTACGGACTGAGCGAGGGAGCTGCTCGGCGCCCCATTCGTGGATTCTCCCCCACTACTGGTGCACTGAAGACACCAGCTGAAGGGGCAGGGGCCCACAGCGGTGAGCCTCCCACCACCCTCTGGACCTCTATGGGGCCTCCTGGGAGCTACAGCTCAGAGCCAGCGGCCAGGCCAGTGTAGAAAACTGGCTGCTCTGAACCCTCTTCTCTGGACATCTGATCGTCCCTCCTCCTGTTTCCTCTGGGCAGGGGACCATCTGCCTTTAGCCCCTGCAAAGTTGGGCTCTGTGCCCCCTGCCCTCCAATTGTCCCTCAGGCCCACAGTCCCCAGCTGGTGGTGCCAGGCAACTTGCATCCCTGGAGGGTGGGAACCAGAATTCTCTGCACAAAAATGTCTGGCCCAGAGCCAACTCATTTTTGCCTCCCAGCCCGTCTAGGCACTCCTGGCTGCTGGACACCCTTCCTCACTTGTGATGTGTTTATAGTGGAAAGAAAACAAAACCATAGTCACTGCATACTTCCGCCAGGGTTTGTGACCAGTCCACGTGTAGTTGTGGGTTGACTCCAGAACCTGGTCCCGGTTTTTTTGTTTGGATTGTGCTGTTTTTCTAACAATGGGGAAAAAGAATTGTTATCAGTGACACAGAAAGATTGCCTTACCCTAAGTGAGCATGAAAAGCCATAAGGACTGAATTCTGTGGCCCAGCATCCAGGACTGACCCACCAACCCAGAGGCCGGTGGACATGTGAGTTAGAGGGAAGCCCACGTCCCGCTGAGAAGGGTTCCCCATGAGTACAGCCAGGACCTGGCCTGTGGGTGTGGAACACTGAGCTGCCCCTCTGGCCCATGGGAATTCAGCAGCATGTACAGTCAGTCACTCTTGCACTATACCTTCTCCAAGCCAGAAACCACATTTAATTTCATAAAGAAACTTATGAAAAATAACCTGGCTGCCAGCCCTTGTTTTTCCATTTGTGTCTGTGTATTTTCTTCTTTGCATGCCCCATCCTTCCTGTACCTCTTATACCTGTCTCTGCCCTGGGCCTTTCCTTCAACAGAAAGGAAGAGCCCAGCATCACCCAGTGCGTGGGAGCTCACTTATCTGCAGACCATGCCCTCAGAGCTTTGGTGGACAGAAACAAAGGTGATGGGGGAAGTACTTCAGAGGGTCAGACGGAGCTGGGAGGACAATATGTGGCCCAATCAGCTGTCCTGATGTGGGATATAGCTGGCCCAGCTCCTCTAACCTATTCAGGCCTGGAAGCCTCCCTGGCTGCTCCGAGTCGATGTTTAGCTGACGTTGGCCAATGTCAATTTGGGGAACAGGAAGTCTGCAATCTTTCTGGGTCTTAGCATCCTCCTCAGTGAAATGGAGAATGCGTCCTCCCAGGACGAGCGAGGCCACAGGACCAGAAGAGGAACAGGGCCAGCTTTCCTCCCCTTCCCCCAGGGGAAAGAGTCCCCACAACCTGCTGCCTCCACACACCCTTACACACTGAGATGTCAGTGCCACACAAGGTCACCGGGGCTGAGCACCACAAGGCCCTCGGCCCCCAAACCCTGGATGTCCTAACTTGAAAGAATCTATACCACCTCCCAGCCAGGCCATGCCACCTCGATAAAACCTACAGGGGAAAAATTTTTTTAAAAAATCACAACATGAAACACAAGTCAATCTTTATTGAAAACTGCAGTATTAATACATAACAATTCTTGTTACAATAAACGTGCCTTTAAGAATTTTAAATCTGAGCTCATCTACTCATCAGATTGCATAAAAAATTAAAATAGTATGAATTTACACATAATGGAACTGGCTCAGGATGGATGTTCCATTCCTTTGTATTGATGGACACCGTAAGTTCAATGCAGAGGTGAGGGATGCCTTTAACACTGGAAGACAATGCTGACTTAAGCTTAAAAAAAGTACCAAGAGAACGGTCTAAAAAAAGTATTTAAAAATCATTTAAAAAAAAAAAAAAGGAACCATTTCCTAGTCAGTCACAGCCCATGTGGCTCCTTGGGGCCTCTCCTCCATCACAGCAACCCTGCCGGAGTGCAACAGAGCCTATTTTACTGACCACTAGTCTGCACAAGGACCCGTGGGAGACTGACAAGGCTCAGGAGGCCCAAACGAGAGACACCTGTCATCTCCAAAACACCAGCCCTGGGAGCAAAGGTCTCCTGAAGCCCTCTGCAGGCTTCCTGAACAGACACCTGCCTCTCCTCTGTCTCCCTGTCCCAAGTAAGTAAACTTTAGTCCTGGGGATTCAAATAAGGTTATCCCTAGGGGGTTTTCTGTTCTTCAAATGAATGGGGGGTGGGGGGGCTGCATGCTAGGGGTGGGGGGAGGAGACAAATCCTCTGAAACATGTAACATCAACTTTGCAACTTTCAACCCAAAAAGATCAGACCCTCCTCTGCAGCAGGTCATCTGCAAGTCTGTTCAAAAAAGTCTGATGCACCTTCAGAAAGCTCAGGCTGAGTAATAAACAGCTCAGGGGAAAAACACACACAAACACTTGAGATGTGCTAGAGAGGAGCTAAGCAGTCTGCCCTTCCCCTGAGCCAACCACACTCCTCTGTAGAGACACCCCCACCCACCCTTAGAAAGCACCAGAGAGAAGAACCAGAAGCTGCCCCCCACCCTCAAGCCACTCAGCCTTAAAACTGCCCATGAGCCTGCTGAGGGGTCAGAGAGGCATCCTGTCCTGTCTGGGCAATACTCAGGTTGGCAATGACTGGGGTATCCAGCCATTAGCTGCCAGATAGGGAGAAGGTGGCCCAACTGGTCAGAGAAATACTGTTTCCAACTGTTTCCAAGAACTGAAGAAGTCTGGATTTCCTTTTGGAAGTGGGCCCCAATGCTGATGTGGTTGGCATGTGCCACCTTTCACCACCGGCTGGCAGGCACACTCACAGAAACCCGTGTGCCAGAGAGCAGCATAGCCAAAGTGCCTTAAGAATGTATTTCCTCTCATTATAGAAGTGATGGTGCCACCAGATGGAGCAAGGCACTGTATGCCCAGCGTGGGAAGGGCAAAATGCTTGCCAACCAGATGCCCAGGCCGAGGCTCAAGACCTCCCTCGTGTCCTGTAAATACTGCATTTGCATAGCACTCAAGAAACAGAGTCACAGAACAGCAACTGGCTGGTCTAATAACCATACCAATAAGAATGTTCTGAAAAGATTTAACACGATACATAAAAGCTTCTGGAAGCGCCTGGCCTCCATGCCTATCACCATGAATGGCCCTGGCCGTGATGTTGGCTTCACTTCACAGAGGCAGCAAGCTGATGGGACCAACGCTCTTCACTAAACAGTCAAGTCACCTGGCCCAGATCCTAACAAAATTTCCATAAGCAAAGAGACCTCCTAAACCTTAGCAGAGAGGCTGTAGAACAATTTTTTTTTTAATACCCATGATAACATTCATGTTTAGAGGAATTAGGTCCTTCGCTTGCCTATCTCCACTTCTGAAAGAACCATAATTCAGCTGAAAGACTCTCAAATTAGGAATGTCACATACAAAAAGAAAAGCAAAGTTTCTCTGAATGTTCCACTATTATTCTTGGGATATCAAATTATGCAAATTTATAACAGAAGTCTATTCCTTAATTAATTTTACTGGAATTAAATGCTGTTAAAATTGCAACCTATGACAGTTTTGCTACTATTCGTATGTCCAGATTCTTACCTGCTAGGCAAGATCTACCTTTCATTATATTTGATAGCTGACGCCCTGACAGGTTCAAAATAGAAGATTTCCAGAGATGTATTCCATTATGCAAAAGTATTTGATAAAGCCTCCCAAAACTCACCTTCACAAAAGGAGAAAAGAGATTAAAAAAAATTATAAGGTGGAAAGTGTTTATGAAGCTGATATAAATGGGGGCGAAATGCAACCCACCCTTCTTGCTCTCAAAAACACCATTTAATTCAGTGCTTGTGAAAACGCTCACCCTGTGTGTGCCATGTCTCAAGCAAGCCCAATGAAGCATCCTATATAACTTCTATCTTTCCTCAATTCAAATAACTCCACCCCTTTACATGTAGTTTTGTGTGTGTGTGTATGTGTGTGTGCGCGCACCCATTTTGATGTTCAGGGCTTTACTAAAGCATACATTAAAATCGTATTTTCTCCTAATCTATTACACTAAACTGGGGAAACTGACTTTTCTTTTACTTGGTCAGTTCAGCCCTGGAACCCTTAGAACCTATCAGATATTTATCACAAACCATCTACTATACAGATGGAATTACCAACAAAGAGTTGAAGAAGTGGACACAAACCATGTGCCTGAAGTAAATGGTTCACATACACACAGACACACACTGACAAACACACATGTGGGTTAAGTGCTAATGAAGCAATTTAAAGTACTTATCAGTAAGCACACTATGTTAATAGACATTAGGAATAAGGAATCTTCTGTTTACAATGATCCATGCAAAAATATTCCTAAACTTCTTATAAAATAAAATGTGGAAAAAAAAATTATGGGGTACTTACTACAAAAAATAAGGTTACCAAAGGCTCAGGGGTCAGGTGTCCTACTCACCAAATGGGGCCGAATGCCAAACCAGTGCCAGAGTCCTGACCTAGCTGCCAGAGATGTAGGGGCAGGGTCCCCTCCCCAACCAAAGCCCACAACACTTGAAACAATGATGGGGTGAACAGGAGCATACCCCACGCCCACCTGACAGACTGCTGAAAGGGAACAAAACCCTCACCCTCCCACCCCCTCTCTGAACAGACACACATTCCCATTGATACAAGTTGGGCACATTTAGGCAAAAAAATCCTTTTCATTTCTTATGTACAATATTCAGACTTTAAACACAAAATCCTTTCCGAATAAATCCTGGAAAGCAAATGCATTCTGATGCTGCCTGGCCCTTTGCTGTCCATACCTGCTTTGTGCTAAGAGCCCTCAGCTACAAGACATGGCAGACAAGGCTCACAGACAAAAGGCACCAGCCCTTCCCTCACATCTCCACAGACCCATCTCCAGGAGCAGCCTCCAAATTTTCTGAGATGACAAGTCCCCATCAGGTGGATGGGCCCAAACATAGCCAAGCCCTGCCTCTCTACAAGAAACTTCAAATAAAGTTTTGTTCCCTTTTAATAGTTCTTAAATATACAACTTTCTTCATAACAGCTGAAATCTTTGCCCTTCTTTGGCGAGGAGGGTGACAGGGGGGCGGTGAGAACAGCAATGCCTATCTATGTTTTCAGTGGACTGAAACATTTCTTGGGGCAGGGAGGAATGGTTTTCTGTGCTAAATAAAGGAGAAGCCAATACCTCCTACAAGTGTGGCTGTTTCTCCTTCACATGTCTTCCATCCCAGGAAAATAATTTAGTTCTACATAGGACTTTTCCAGTAAAGATACAGAAAACCTCATCTCTATCTGTAAGAGGCTTGTCATGAAAACTTAAATGGCAGAGAAAATTGCTTTGCTGATACAAAGACCACCTCTTGCCCCTAGCTATATACTGGCCACACACTCTACACTTTCACGATGATCTTTAAGAATGTCCACACCACAATGCCCCCCAAGACTAAATGGCAAGATAGGGATGCCCAGTAAGCTGGCTGCATCCCTGGCAGTGGTGGCTCTCCTGGCACTCTCCCTGTCCCTGCAACTCTCTCCCCTCGCCGTGCAGTCAGTGTGAAAGAAATAGATGGCTGAAAACTCAAAGTCCACGTTACCAACTGGCAACCCACCTCAACCCCAAAGGCTGAAGAATCATCATCTAAGGGATTTCAGATACTCTATGAAGAAATTCACTTTAACACTTATAACTTTAAGACTCTGCATACATTACAACAGTGCATTAGTGATACAAGTTATAAAATGCTTTTCCATTCCTTTGGGTTTTGCATATGATGGTTTTGCATCAGTCACTGCAGGTAGATTGAGCAAGCTTTGTTTTTGTGTTTGTTTTTTTAAACATGCATTCAACTAGATATGATTCAGAATAGATTAATACTCCCTTTTAATCATTACAGTTAGCTAAAAAAATTGCCAGGCAGCCCATAAAACAGGATTTGCTTTAAGACCAACCCACAGAGTTAGTTGGAGACTAATGGCGCTGGGACCTGCTGGGCCGGGCCATAGTAGTGTTTAGCTAAGTGTAGAGAGCATTAAGAAGAAAGTCCGGGTTGGAGGCGCGAGGCCTGCAGCACCAGCTGTGGAACCTCCATGATGTGACTGCACAGCTCCATCCTCAAACCTGGCAGGGGGAAGAAAGACAGACACAGTCAACAAAGAGTGCCTCTGGCACCACTGCTCCAAAAAGGAGGGGTTTCATTCAACTCAAGGAGGACGAAATCCACTAGGACCAGAAAGGGCAGCAGCAGGAGAGGCCACTGCTCCTGGTTCTGTGGACCTGAGAGAGACTTCCAGTTACAACTAGAATCCTATTTCCTGCAGAAGGCAGTGGGAGATTAGAGCATGGAAGAGGAAAGGAACAAAGTCTACAGTGTATACAGCAAGTACTCCATGGTTCCCTTCCTTCTTCTACTTTATAGAGTCCCAATAAGAACAAAAATTTAAATACCACACTGCTCTTGGATTAACAGGTAGCATTTTTCTCATTAGTGCTTAAAATATGTTAGATTTGCCATTCTGTACTGAAAAAAATACACTTTAGTCGAGAGTCAACACAGATTTCACCGGTCACTTACATTTGCAGGGTGATCACCACTGAGGGGGCACGTAGCTGTAGGTGGGCGTTCCTGGGGCCCGATACGTGGGCACAGTGACTGGGTGGGGGGCAACAGGAGTTGGGGAGTGGGCGGTCAGCAGGGTACCTGGAAGAAAGAGCAGCTGTCTCAGTGGCAGGCAGCACCACCACACACAAGGCGAGCCCGTGTCACCATACAGCTCCACGCTGCCCAACAAGAGAGCTCTGGCCCGGCCTGCTTTGAAAGGAAGGAGATACACAGAAGGAGGGGTAGTCTCGACCTAGAGTGCTGTCAGAACTCTGATCGTACACAACTCAAAGCTGTACGAACACAGCAAGCTTATATGATAACGTCTACAGAAGGCTTTGTGCTTTCCCTTCACACAAGCATACTCAAATGATTTTTGGAAATCAGGTAATTGACAAAATAAAAAAATTCAGCCTTAAAAAGGAAGGAAATTGGTTACATGCTACAACATGGATGAACCCTGAGGACGTTATGTTAAGTAAAATAAGCCAGTCACAAAAAGATACATCCAAAAGGACTCCACTTACATGAGGTATCTCGAGTAGTCAAACTGACAAAGTATAAACGGTGGTGGCCAGGGGCTGGACTGGGCTGGGGGTGGGGGGCACAGGGGATAAGGGGAATTGTTATTTAATGAGCAGACCTTCAGTTCTGCAAGGTGAAAAAGTCCTGTTTTACAAAAATGTGACTAAAGTTAACATTACTAAACTATATACAGTTAAAAATGGTTAAGATGGTAATAAATTGAAGAGAGGGAAGACTCCAAACTACATGAGCTTCTGAGTACATGAAAATAATGTATTCCCTTATAACTACAGAAAACTCAGCAACACTCTGAGCCCATCTGTAGATAAGCAGAACCTCAAACCTAACAGCCTCACTTTGCTTCTCTTCACTTCCCATCTCCCTGCCCACAACAAGCCCACAGCCTGCCATCCCTCCCTCCACATGCCTCAAACATGCAGTTTCTGTCTCTCCACAGATAAGTATGGGAAACCCAAATACAATGGAGACTCTGGGCAGAAAACACATACCTTTCTCTCTGGCACAATCTCCCTATGTTGAAGTTAAAAAAAAAAAAAAAAGAAAAGAAAAAAAAGAGGGAACAACAATGGGAAAAAAACCCCAACAAAACAAAAACAAAAAAACACAGCCAATGGCAAGCACGTGCATCTTGTGTACCTGGCCGCCCGGCCATAGACAACTCATGTGCCCACTGGAGGTAACCTAATCCTTAGACATTACGTCAAGTCCCCAGGGGCTCTGTAGTCCAAGAAGATGTGTACATCCTACCCAGGAGCCTCATGTTTCTGTGATTTATTTTTCTGACCAAGGGAAGCCTTGGGAAATAAAGTCGACCAATGCCAAAGGATTTCTACAAGTAGCTGTTAATGTCTATTAACACAAAGCCAGTTTTTTTAGATTTATGCAAACACCAACATTCACACAACTTGCCCTGCAAAGATAGCCCACAATAAAGGGTGGTACCAGGAGGGCCAGCCCACCTAGACACAAAGTAATCCCCTTCTGCTCAAGCTTGGTATGCTCCTCAGGGGGACCGACCACTCCTCGGCCCTACTGCCAAGGGTTCAGCTCACCCGTCAAATACAGAGATCACTAACCAGTTGTGCCCACAGGAAAGGTACCTGGTTCTTGGCTTGTCACTCTAAACCCCAGACTCCTCTCAACTGAAAGGAGAAGAGGAGGAAATGAAGGGAAGGGAAAGAAAAAGATTATATGCTGTTCCTTTCCTGACGAGTATGTCCTTCCATACAACTCGAGCCATGAAAAATCAAACCAAGGGTAAAAGAATTAGTGAGCTCTCTCTTCCCCCGGCTCTCACGCCATCATAAAACAGGCAACCCAGGGTCAAGGACTCACCTGCCGACATGGCCATAGTGGTCCCAGCCACCATGCCCATGGTGACGCCGTTGCCTCTAGGTGGAGGGATGGGAGCAGGGTACACCGTCGCCGGCATGCCATTGGGCTGCACCACTGTGGTGTGGTGGATGACGTGAGGGGGTGCTGCATACAGGGGCTGTGTGTAGTACGTGCCTTGCTGTGGAGAAGAGGAGAGACAACTGCCACAGGGCTCCACACCCCATGGATCAGAGCCCAGAGAGAACCAACCCTTCCCGTACGCACAGTGCCCGTGAGCACCATTAAGAGACCCACAGCACACCCCAGGCCTACCTGCGCGTAGGGGCTCTGCTGGGGGTAGGCACTTCGCACAGGGTACACAGCGGTCTGGTAGGGGTTGGGGGAGGAGGAGTATGGTGGCACTGCCCCGCTGGTGGGGGAACAGGACACTTTGTAAGGTGTGCCGGGAGTGTAACCTGAAACAAAGAAGCCAATGGCCGTGAAAAACCCAGAGCTTTTCCTCTAAGGTCAGGAACAAGACAAGGCTGTCCACTCTCACCACTGATATTCAACACAGTACTGGAAGTCCTAGGCACAGCAGTCAGACAAGAAATAAATGGCATCCAAAATGGTAAGGAGGAAGTAAAACTGTCTATCTGCAGATGACATGACACTACACATAGAAAACTCTAAAGACTCCATCAAGAAACTAATAAATGAATTCAGTAAAACTGTAGGACACGAATATATAGAAATCTGTTGTGTTTCTACACACTAATGAAAAGTAGAAGAGAAATTAAGAAAACAGTCCCACTTAAAACTGTACCAAAAAGAATAAGATACCTAGAAATAAATTTAACCAAGGAGGTGGAAGACCTGTGCTCTGAGAACTGTAGAACACACTTATGGAAAAAAACTGAAGACAACACAAATAAATGGAAAGCTACACCACACTCATGAACTGGAAGAATATTGTTAAAATGTCCTTACTACCAAAGGCAATATACAGATTCAACGCAATTCCTATCAAAACACCAATAGCATTTTTCACAGAACTAGAACAAACAATCCTAAAACTTGTATATGGAACCACAAAAGACCCTGAATAGCCAAAGCAATCTTGAGAAAGAAGAACAAAGCTGGAGGTATCACAATCCCAGATTTCAAGATATATTACAAAGATGTAATCATCAAGACAGTATGGTACTGGCATAAAAACAGACACACAGATCAATGGAACAGAATAGAGAGCCCAGAAATAAACCCACGTTTAATTGGCCAACTAATGATCTACAACAAAGGAGGCAAGAATATACCATGGGGAAAAGACAGTTTAATAAATGGTATTGGGAAAAGTGCACAGCTACATGCAAAAGAATGAAACTGGACCACTTTCTTACACCATACACAAAAATTAAAATGGAATAAAGACCTAAATGTGAGACCTGAAACCTCAAAAAAGTCCTAAAAGAAAATCTAGGCAATAATCTCTTGTACAATGGCCTTAGCAACATATTTATGGATCTCTCAAGCAAGGGAAACAAAAGCAAAAATAAACTTAGAACTACATCAAACTAAAAAGCTTCTGCACAGGGGTTCCTGGGTGGTGCAGCTGATTGAGCGTTCGACTCTTGGTTTCGGCTCAAGTCACGATATCAGGGTCATGGAATCGAGCCCCCTGCCTGGCTCCAGGCCCCACACTGAAGGAGTCTGCTTCGGTTTCTCCCTCTGTCCCTCCCTCCCGCACTCGCTCTCTCTAAAATAAACAGATCTTTAAAAATAAACAAATAAATAAAATGCTTCTGCACAGTAAAGTAACCCATGACAAAACAAAAAGACAACTAGTGAATGGGAGATAAGATCTGCAAATGAAAAATGTGATAAGGGGTTAATATCCAAAATTACATGAAGAACACCACCAAAAAAACAATCCAGTTAAGAAATGGGCAAAAGACCTGGATAGACATTTTTCCAAACAAGATCCCAGGTGGCTAAAAGACACATTAAAAGATGCTCAACATCACTCATCATCAGGGAAATGCAAATCAAAACTACAATGAGATCTCACCTCACACCAGTCAGAATGGCTAGTATCAAAAAGACAAGAAATAACAAGTGCTGGTAAGGATGTGGAGAAAGGGGAACCCTGGTGCACTGCTGGTGGGAATGAAATTGGTGCAGCCACTACAGAAAATAGTATGAACATTCCTCAAAAAGTTAAAAACAAACAAACACCACATGATCCAGTAATTCCACTATTGGGTATTTAACCAAAGAAAATGAAAACACTAGTCTGGAAAGATACATACACCCCTATGTTTATTGTAGCATTATTTACAACAGCCAAGATATGGAAGCAACCCAAGTATCCAATGATAGAATGGATAAAGATGATGTCATGTATATGTACGTGTGTACACACACACACACACACACACACACAAACACTCTCTCTCTCTCTCTCTCTCTCTGGAATACTACTCAGCCATAAAAAAGAATGAGATCTTGTCATTTGCAACAACATGGATGGACCTAGAGGATATTACGTTAAGTGAAGTAAGTCTGACTGAGAAAGACAAATACCATATGATCCAGTGATTTCACTTATATGTACAATCTAAAAAACAAAACAAAGCAAAAACCACAAACAGACTCAAAAATAGAGAACAAAGCAGTGGTTGCCGGGCTGGGGGAGAAGGGAATGGTGATAGGCAAAACAGGTGAAGGGGATTAAGAGGTACAAACGTCCAGTTATAAAGTTAAGTCAGTCATGTAGACGAAAAGTAGAGTACAGGGAATATAGTCAATAATACTGTAATAACACTGTATGACTGTGCTAAGCAATGAGCAATACACAGAAATGTTAAATCACTATGTTTATACACCTAAAACTAATAAAAAAAAATTTTTTAAAGGAAAGAAAAAAAGGCCTTAATTCAAACCCACTTTTGGGCCCGGCACAGGGAGGAACCACATGTGCAGTGAGGAACAAAGCAATGTTACAGCCCTGACTGCAGTCAAGATCTGACACCACTGTGGCCCTGTCTATCCTCCACAAACATCTGACTTCATTTCTAGACCTGATGTGCAAGTATGTTTGTGGGGATTGGGGGAGAAGGGAAAAAACAAAGGAGAAGGTTCTACTGAGAGTATACTCAACACAGGAATAGGAAAGAAATACCTGTCCTGTGGGAATACAAATTGGTACACCTTCCTGGGCCACAATCTGGCATTAAAAGTATGGACTGGAACAGACTCAACTGTAAGAATTCTCATCACAGTGTTATTTATTACAGCAAAAAAAAGGGGACAGGGGAGAAACTTGTCAAACACCAGGGCTAAGATAAAAAGATCTGAGTTAAGACAGCAAGTTGAACACATACATTTGCATCTGTCCCCACCCAAAGTGACAATAAATCAGATTAATAAGTTAAAGATGTAAAGCCACAGAGACAAAGAATGGGAGAGAAGACAACACTTTGGAACCTAAAAAGCAGAAGCGGAAAATGATCTGGCAGACTCAAAATAGCTACATCGCAGCCAACAGTGAAGAGGGCCGAGAAGCAGCCTGCTACCAGGCACACCCCTTCCCCAAAACCTGGAAACTATCAGCACTTGCTTCCAGTTGATGGAGGGCTAAAAGTCTGGAAGAGTGGCTAGAGTCTATTTGCTAAGCCAGAAGATGTCTGGCTCCCCATTCTTCCTGACTCCCCATCCCAACAAGGAACAGTGGCTTATTCTCAAGGGAGGGTATGAGAGGGCCTCTGAACTGCTATGTTCTTAGCAGCTTTATTCATAATGACCAAATGTCCACCAGCAAACTGGTACATCCATAGAATAAAATACTAGTTAGCAACCAAAAAGATACAACTGATACATACAACATGGGATAAATCTCAAACTATAAGATGCAAAAGAAGCCAGACATAAGAATACATGCTGAGAGGTGCCTGGCTGGCTCAGTTGGTGGAGCACCTGACTCTTGATCTCAGGGTCCTGAGTTCAAGCCCCACATTGGGCACAAAGCCTACTTAAGAAAATTTTAAATTATTAAAAAAAATACATGCTAACTTCACTGATAGGAAACTCTAGGAAAGACCAACCTAATATTCCAAGATAGAAAACCGATTGGTGGTGGTCAGGGGCCAGAGGGCATGAAGGAACTTCTCAGGGAATGAAGTCACTTGACTGTGGTGGCGTTACACAACTGTATACTCCTGTCTAAAGACACCAGACCAACCGCTTAAAAGGATAAACTTTTAGTATATGTAAATTATACCTCAATAAAACTGCTTTCTAAAAGTGAGAGAGGCTCCCGGGTGGAGCACTCAGTTAAGTGTCTGACTCTTGGTTTTGGCTCAGGTCATGATCTAAGGGTGATGAGACTGAGCCCTGCTTCCGGATCCACATTCAGGGTGGAGTCCGTTTCAAGAGTCTCTCCCTCTGCCCCTCCCCCAAACCTCTCTCTAAAATAAATCTTCAAAAAAAATTAAAAAAAAAAAAGGTGTCTGAGGTACTATTTCTCATTCATTACGAGACAAGGGCTCACTCACTCACACTTAATTCATGGGCGTGTCAGTACAACTGCTCATAAAGCTAGAGAAATACTTTCCATAGGACCCAGCAATTCACGCTCAGATATCTATCCTAGAAGAATGAAAACATATGTTCACACCAGGACTTATAAAAACTGTTCACCAAACTTCTTCATAATAGACAAAAATTGGGAAATAACGCTCATCAAAAGGAGAATGGATAAATTATGACACATCCAAATAAAAAATACTAAGTATCAAAAGGAAAAAACGCAAATAAATCTCAAACCATGTTGAACACCATGTTGAATGTTTAAAAGACACCAGACACACACAGAAGAGCACACATCATATGATCTCATTTTCAATACAAAGCCTATAAATATACCTATGGTGGGAGAAAGGGGAAGGGTGGTTTGGAGAGGGCAGAAAGAAAGCATCTGGGATGATCAAAGTGCTTGGTATTTTCCTTCAGATGTGATAACATGAGTATATACAACTGTCAAAATCAGTCTAACTGAACACTTAATACATGGGTGTTTGTGCATAAATTATACCTCAAGTTTAAAAAACAAGCTAAGTGAGGCACCTGGGTGGCTTAGTCAATTAAGCATCTGATTATTGACTTCGACTCAGGTCATGATCTCAGGGTCCTGAGATCAAGCACCACGTCGGGTTCTGCACTTACTGGGGAGTATGCTTGAGATTCTCCTGTCACTGTCCCACTCTGCCCCCCAGACCAAGCTCACACACACTCTCTCTCAAATAAATAAATCTTAAAAAAAAAGCTGAGTATTAAAAAATTAAAATTAGAAAAATTTATCTTACTGGACTGTGGTTAGAAGTGGACATATATTTTGTTTTTAATTTAAGGAAGAGAATGAATGATCCCAGGAATTTAAGATTATTTATTTATTGAGGAGGAGGGGCAGAGGGAGAGA